TTGTCAGCTGTTTTTTGTGACCGTACGGATGCCATCATCATCATCATCGACAAGTCGAAAGACGGATACGACACGATGCTGCGCGACGCGGTGGGGTAGTATAGAGCGTGTAAATGTGACGTCTCATGGTGGTGCCAGGCTAGGTGCATGTGTGTGGTGGCGCAGCAGTTCGTGCACTACGCTAACTGGTGATATTTGAATCCCAGACGTGGCTAACCACCGCTCCCTACACATATACACAAAGACAAATATCCCCCGTATAGTCTTAACAGACTGCTGGGGCAAGTGCTGTTAGCGAGCACCTACGAAGGCCGGCACGGCACACGAGGGGGTGGGTGACCAACATCACTCCCGGTCACAATTGTCTCCCCAGCGGCGATGTTTACACACCGTACCAGGTGCCCATGAGGCTGAGTCGACCTAGGGGAGACCCAGGACCGGCTCAGATCGAACTCGGGTCACCGGGTTCGTAGCGCAGCGCGCTAACCGCTACACCACCGCTCCCCACATGCACACACTCGCACAATCGCACAATCTATCTCATGCACACACGCCTACGAATACGCACACCCCCTATCCCGCACACAAATTTACATCCCTTTGCAAATCCACTGCTGAACGTCCGACCCCACTTCGTTACCTTGCTGGCCAATGGGTGTAATGAAGAGGGGTCCAGGAAAGATTCATCATCACTCTCCTGGACCGATGTTATTCATGGCCAGACATCGAACCGGATTCAAACGCACGGACGTAACGAAACAACATCCGTCGTTCACCACTAAGCGGCAGTGATCTCACCTTGGTGCTTGTGCCAGGCTAGGTGCACCTCGAAGTCCACGCGGAGTGTGGAAGGCTCGCTGGCAGGAGGTCGCGGGACAGACCCAGGTGCCCACGGGTTCACTCGAGATGAATGGCTAATGCTCGGTCGGGGTTTATTCGCCAATCAAGGCCCAGCGCTCCAAAAGACGATCCCAAAGTTTCGGATCACCTTTTTTGAATCCACGAGGGCTAAGCCTGCAGATAGGGCATCAGAGACGGAATGAATAATGCAGGGTGCAAGTCACCCAAGGTGATAGGAGGCAGTACAGAAAGCAGGCTCCGACTCCATTGGGGAGGTTTAACGCACGCAATGGAGCACTTGCTGGGTGGCACCAGCTTCAGTGAGTGCCGTGAAACTCCCAACCTGCCGGGCTACCATGTGGTCAGACGGCAGTAAAGCAAGTGGGTTTGCGGGCATGTCTGTAGGTCAATGTTTCAGCATTGTTCTCCTGCAGGCGTGGTCTTCTCTGGATACAGGAATCCCTCGATGTACGAACGTTCCGAGTTCACGAAATGTCGCGTGTCCGCGATTGATAAATCGCGCACACTTTTTCGACGAACGAAATTTTCCCCCGCGTGAAGTTTCACTGCGGCCACGCGCGCCACGAGGTCACACGAGAAGCCACCAACTAGGGAGTGGCTGCGGCGTCGTCATCATCATCACGTAGTGGCAGCAGCGACGTCACGGTGTCCCCGCAGTGGCGGCAGTGACGTCACGGTGTCCCCGCAGTGGCAGCAGCTACGTCACCACACATCGCCTTGCCGGGCATTCGCAGCAGATATATTGGGGTTCCCCAAAAAGGTGATTTGTGTTGTTTTAAATTATTGTTAAATCGTTTTAATGTTTCTTATTACATATCCTGTGTTGTGCAAAGTGATATAGGTGTATACATTTAGGTTAGGAGGAGAGAGTTGGAATGAATGTCCGAAACACATTCAGGTTTCCAATAGAGCTTGGAGAGCTGGAGTTCAAAAGAGCTCACAAACACCTTGTGAAAGACCCAGCGTGTTCCACAAAGCTCGCCCATGCAAACCATGGCAGTAGATACGGATACCCTGATGCACAAATGGGACATTTAAAACGGTTTCGTTGTGTGCGACTGCGGTCATCCAGAACAGACCGGACAACGTTATAACGACGCAACGCCGCAATCCACAAAGCCCACGAAGGAGATATCGCGGCAGTGATGCACGACTCCGCGGCTCCGGTTGACGCGGTTATCTGGACCTGACCACCCTGAATGTGAAATCGTAGTTGTTGTTCTGCGTCTACATTAGCCACACGGTAGTAGCAGAAGTATTAAATGGGAAAAGCCGTTTCCGATTTAGCACGAGGGATACCTGTTGAGCGGAACTCCCTAAGCATGCCGACACTCTGTGTGGGCAGAGTTCGCATATCAAAAAGAGCCACTGCTCAATGCTAATCGCAAATATTGCTCGAAGCAGTGGTGGAAATTCCACATTGTTATGGCGAGTGCCGACTCTCCACAGGATAACCTTCCGACGAAGTGGTACTCAATTTATCAACCCTATAGGGATGATAGGCTGCGTTATCTCCCAACTGAACTTTCAATAACGGCGCAAATGAATTTGAAAAGAAAAACGAAACACGAAAGGATTTGGGAATATTTTCTTTTATTAGAAAATAATGAAAACATGAATATCGTAAAGAATGATATGCATTTGTAAAATTAAGGAAAACTAGACGAGATGCCATCACAAACATTCGTGGGCACACACACACATATATAAAAGCACACCCAAGTGTCATCTCCCAGCTTGGCACTGCCGTGGCGAGATGTTATCATCCTCGCCTGGTATACAGGAGGTCGTGGGTTCGATCCCGACGCTGACACCTGCTGTATATTTGGAGTTTGCGTGTCTCTCTCTCTCTCCCCCGTGGCCGTGTGGATTTTTCTCGGGGTCCTCCGGTTTTCCCCTCCACATTTAGTAACATGCATTTAGAGTATTTGGCTGCTGTGCATTTCCACACGACGATAAGCCACTCCGTTGAGCTGTCATTTGTGGCCAGGTCGCTTCCGAAAAAGAGCGACGTAGCTCAGTGGGCCTTACCTGGTAAAATATAATAAATAGGCGTGAGGTGGTGGTAGTGGCATCAATCACCCCCATCGGTGGCCCTGAGCCAGTGGTGAAGATTCCAGTTTGCCCTCAAATCATCGTCAACATCCACGGTTTACTTCCCCCCGTACCCGAGCGCTGTGGGGTGGGGGGGGGGGCGGACAGCGGCTCACCGTGACCCCAGCGGGAGTGGCGACACGGTGGGCTGCGCTCAACTTCAACTTCATGCCGAACGTGCGGTCGCCACACCATTGGTGGCCGAAAAAAACCGTCGACCGTTTTCTTTAAAATCGAGATGGGTTTGGCGTCAACCGCTGCCCAAGCTGCCGAAGTGATAAATTCCCTCTACGAATTTATTTTAAAACCCTAAAACAAAATCGTTAAAGGGGGCAACACTGAGCGACTATGATCTACCATTACACGCAAAAGCCAAGCGCGGGAAGTGCCGATTTCCCTTGGCTATGCTTGAGCCGGGCATTGAGCGGAAAATTCCATTGCCCACGTGGATTTGCACGGGATCGTCCTAGCATGGCGTTCATTGTATTGACACTATGAGGGACGACGGATGGTCTGAGCTGACCCGTGACCAATCTAACTGCCTGCTGCCTTCTGAACGCGAGGGGATAACGGTGTGCCACCACGCGACCCAGGCAGACTTTACACCGGGAGTAAATATGGGAGCGTCGGTAACGAGCTCACGGCAATTGGATTACAGCAACTCCTGTTAAAGCGTCACTTTCCCTCAAACGCTCTACAAACCTCACCTCGTGCCAATGGTGCGTTCAGAACGGTGCGCCTCGTGCATACAGCCATGCGCGGCAATAAACGTTTGGCACGCTTAAAAATAATTAACAAAAAGAAAGGTTAAAACAATTGCACGACACAATTCCGTGGTTAAAATGTAACCCCCTCGCTTACCGCTGCCTTTTCCATTGCATAAGGCAGCACCCACCCCCCCCTCGCCACGTGACAAAAAAAGGTACAAACATTAATAAAGGAGTAAACTGAGACGTGAAATATTCGTCGTTTGCATCTTTAAAATGCTAAAACAGTTTTAAAATAAGAGAACGAAGCTTCTTCATATAAAGAATTATTTGTGTGTGTAAAAAAAACCCAACAGTCGTCAGCTGCGCCCTAACAAACGTCACGAACTTGGGTGCCTCGCCTCGGATGTGCCAGTGGGGAAGAGGGGGCGAAAAGTTTCACCGCGTAACATCGGCGTAGTGCAACGTCGAAAGAGAGCGACACAGAGGTGACGTGCAAGAGAATTTTCGCCGTTTTCAACCTCAGCTTCACGCGACTGGCAAAGAAGGAACCCCGCTCGGGCGGAAATGCAAACGAACGGACGCGTGGGTGCGGGAGGAATGACGCCACTCGTCGTTGAGCTTCACATTCAACCCCATGATGCCGTTGCAATGGCTGCTCTTGCAGCTGTTATTGTAGGGCCGCCGCTGGTCGTGGCTGTGTTGCTGTTGCAGGACGTTGCTGCGGAAATCACCGAAGTAGCGGTGCGACTCGTTACGACGCTACCGTTATTGCTCTTGCAAGCCCTCCCCGGTACGGCACCTGGGGTGTTGCAATGCAGCCGTGACAACGGTTTCCAGTGTTACACTTGTAACTGTTTGCGGTCACTCCTGCGACAGATTCTAATGTAGCGCCTGCTGTCATCATCTGCAAATGTAGCTCCTGCTGGCAGTGATCCTCTTGTAAAATTCTGGTTGCTGCTAATCTGACCCGCTTTCAGAGCTTCTGATGCGGCCCCCCTCCTGCCACAACTAATTGTTCATGTTCACGATGCCAACAGCGCTGGTGTGACTATACCTACTGACATAGTTCGTGGTGTTGGTGCAACTGTTGCAACTGAAGGTTCGGCTGCTTCCAACGCTTCTACCGCCGTGATCGCTTCCGATGCAGCCACTGCAGCTCCAGCTGCTGCTGCAATTGTCACCGCCGTGAGCACTTGCTGCTAGATTTGTCGACTTAGTCCTCGTCTTCCACCCCATTACCATCACCGTCACAGCCAGCGCGTCAACCCGCTGCCTCGCGCGGTCACTCCCGTTCCCTCCAGTCGCTGCCCTAATCCCCCACCCGCACAACCCCCCACCACCCCACGTCTACCGCTACGACTGCACCGCCAGCTCCTGCTGTTGCTGCAGCCGCAGGCGGCGCATGGCCCGCCGGCTGCGCCACACCTTGATGTTGCGGTCGTCGCTGGCCGAGATGAGCATCTCCTGGTCGGCCGGGTTGAACGCGACGCAGTTCACCACGTCGCTGTGCGGCAGGCGGCCGAGGAGGGCGGCGTAGTGGCGCTCCCACACGTAGCCGTGGTGGTCCTCCGCCCCGCTGCCAATGGCACGGCAACGTAAGTGGCACGGCAACGTAAGTGGCAGCACGGCGCGGCGCGTGAAAGCCCCAAATATGCCGAGCAACGTGATCCCCCGTGGTGTGACACGCGTGCACCAATTTGCACGTTTAACAAAGCACACGTGGCTATACACGGAGTGCCGCGTGCTCTTGAGCACACGACTTCCACAGCGACGTTTGTATGTATATACGTACGTACGTACGTAGAACGCGGTAATAATTATGCGAACGGGGAGTGCGTTAACCCCACCCCCGAACCTTAAAACTCGATACACGTGGAGGCTGCCGCTGGGAAAGTTCATGTTCTGTTTCAAGCAATAACAACATCACCACAAGAAGCACTTAGCCTCACGTGTGCATGTGTGTTGAACTTCTTTTGGACTGTACGTAGCCAATTGAGATAATCGAAAGTGAGGGGGAAGGACAACAAACTAAAAACAAAAAGACGTTCTAAAGAAATGCGTTTTCAATCTAGATGATTTAAAAGTGCACAGCTCCAATGGCTTCCTAATATCGGAAGGAAGAACGTTCCAGACGGCCACAGAAGCGCGTCTGAAAGCGCCACGCGATGCGGCGACCGTCTCTGTTCGACGGTTCGCCAAAAGCGGCAGGAGTGCGCCGCAGTGCACCGCATACAGGAGACGCGATACTCAAGGTTTAGCCGTGACATTATCGCCTTTCCTCTTCCCTTCTTTACTCGATCACTTCCTCTCTCCCCACACTGCCCATTTCCCTCTCCCCACCTCCCTCCCTCCCCCGCACGCCCACCCCAGCTCACCTCGCGAGGAAGTCCTCGCTGCTGTTGAGGAAGATGAAGAAGCAGTTGTGCTCGGCGGTGAAAGCGTGGTGTCCGCGGAAGGACCGCCCGGTGGGCCGCAGCGTGGGCAGCTCGAGCTCGCGCGTGTCGATGTCCCGCGAGATGGCGGGCGGTTCCGTGGGCTCCGTCACCACGCAGCCCGCCGGCCACGCGCGGCAGTTCACGTACAGGAACCTGCGGAGCGGCGGGGAAGTCCAGTCGCGGTCCGGGTTTCGGCCGCCCGCCGTCGAAGAACCCGCAAGGGGGGGGGGGGTTTACAGGGCCGCCAGGAAACGCGCCTACGTAGAACTTCGTTCGCACCGAACGTGGCCAACCCGTTGCCGTAACGCAGGGCGGCACATTTGATCCGAGCGGTGGATTGACGTACAATTTCTACATGGCCAACCGTGTCCTGGCTGAGACGGCACAGAGTCTTTTTGGCTCCAACGCCCGCAATGTTAACTAGTGCGGCCGCAGGGCTCGAACTGCGAACGTCTGCAGAAATTGACAAACGCGCGGACGCTCGGCCGCGCCTACGCTCTGAAACCCGGGTTTCGAGCCCAGGATAGTCTCATCGCTTCTGGCACGGGCCTCGATCTGTCCCCACACAACAGCAAGCCAGACCAACAGCGAGGAGCAGACTATACCCAGCCTCTGCGTACGTGCGGACGCTGAACTTCCTTCGCGCCGTGCGTCGCCAACCGCGCTAATCGGAGGTGCGGGCGAAGGACAACAAGCGAAACAGACTCCAGAATGAGCGCAAGAGGAGCATGGAGCCCCTTCCGACCTACGGTTCCACGAGCACCCCGATGCCTTCGCTGCTCTCTGACCTGTGGTCTGGAGACAGCGCCATGCCGATGATCTGCCCGTGCAGCTCCAGCATGTGGTCGGGCGCGTGGTGTCCGTCCACCCGCTTCACGTACTCGTGCGGCTGCGTCGGGATTTGCTTGACTCCTGGCCGCGGGGGGAAGGTGGTGGGCGGGCAAGGGCGGCAACACCATCCATCCGTCAGTGTGTGGCTTGCGGATTCCGCGGGGGGGGGAGGGGGGGGGTAGAGGTGCTTCACCCGGCTCCCAACTACTCAGGGGGAAGACGCACCCCGGAAAAGGCACCGGCCTCTCACCGCACTGCGTGTAAATGGATGAATGAACTCGCGTCTAGGCTGTGCTCTACCTATCGTGTAACGTCACGGCACGGGCCCCCCCCAATTGGCGGCCGTCCTCCGAGCGGCAATGATTTGGGGGCGATGATTGCTCTAGGGGTAATTTCGGGGCGATTCACAGCGGTGCGTGCAGTATTGACCATTGTAGCAGGAATCGCATAAATGAGGAAGTGACAAGGGGCAACAGTGAGAGTACTGAATGTGATACAGCAGTGGCAGAGAAACAGAGAGGATGACACAGACAGTGAATAGGATTGAACACGATAGTAGCAGTAGCAGAGAGACAGAGAGGATGACACAGTGAATAGGATTGAACATGATAGCAGCAGTAGTAGAGAGACAGGGAGGATGAGAGAATGACAGTGAATAGTACTGAACGTGACAGTAGCAGAGAGACAGGGAGGATGAGAGATTGACAGTGAATAGTACTGAACGTGACAGTAGCAGAGAGACAGGGAGGATGAGAGATTGACAGTGAATAGTACTGAACGTGACAGTAGCAGAGAGACAGGGAGGATGAGAGATAGACAGTGACTAGTATTGAACGTCACAGTAGTAGAGAGACAGGGAGGATGAGAGATTGACAGTGAATAGTACTGAACGTGACAGTAGCAGAGAGACGGAGGATGAGAGATTGACAGTGAATAGTACTGAACGTGACAGTAGCAGAGAGACGGAGGATGAGAGATTGACAGTGAATAGTACTGAACGTCACAGTAGTAGAGAGACAGGGGGGATGAGAGATTGACAGTGAATAGTACTGAACGTGACAGTAGCAGAGAGACAGGGAGGATGAGAGATTGACAGTGAATAGTATTTAACGTCACAGCAGCGGCCGCACAGATACAGGATGGGAGCGCGGCTGCAACGAATCGTCCCTGCGCAGCAGACCTATCTGGTGCGAGGCGTAGGTCAGGTCGCCCGTGCCGTACACCAGGAACCTCTCCCGCGGCGGCAGCCGGCGCTCGTTGCTCATGGCGTGCTGGTGCTTGCGCCTGCGCACCACCGCCGCCGCCGCCGCCGCCTTGCTAGTGTAGTGGTCGCGCCGCAGCAGCGAGCCGCCCAGCAGCCAGGACGGGCGCCCGGAGGAGGCCGAGGGGCCCTTGGCGGCGGAGGCGGCGGTGCCGCTGGACGGAGGCGGCGGCTTCGGTTGCCCCTCACCGGGGGTGGCCACCATGAGCATGCGGGGGTAGGAGCCGTTGGAGCATGCGAACTTGAAGAGCCGGTGGCCCTGCTGGTTTTGGTTCTGGGGAGCGGAGCGGGGACACAGGTAGAGACCACCCTACGTTGACAGAAGAAGAACAATTCCTTTGCCAAGGCGCTTTGTTTCTTCTGACACAGCTTAAAGGTCGTGATCTGAACGTGGCTTTTTTCACTCCAGCGCTGTCCTACCAGACAGTCTCGTCCCTTCACCTGATGAAGGCCGCTTGTGTTGTGGCCGAAACGTCGTGAGAATATTATTGTGTTATTTTATTTTATCAATTTATTATTTTATTCTCATTCTACGTGACTTTACCGAAAGAACCAAAGAAGATGAATCCTTGCAGTCACGAAAGCTTTCAATCGAAAAGAACAAATAGGTTTCTCGAAATCGGAGGATGTATGTACACAGGGACTCCTCTAGTTACGAACGAGTTAGATTCCAGAGATCTGTTCTTAAGTCGATTTGTTCGTAAGCCCAACTTTACTCCTGTTGATTCCAAACATGTTGTAGGGCGTGTACACTAAACACGGGGAATGGCTTTAAAAGTTGTATAATTTCCTGCAGACGTAGATGCCACAGGTTCTTCACGTTCTGCAGATGCAGATGCCACCACTGCCATCTATTGCGTGGCGGTTGAACTTGACTCTCAGTCCAAACAGGCAACTGGCCATACGGACAAGTTTTTTCGTATCTCTGAAATTTCGTAAGTCGAATATTCATAAGGAGAGGAGTCTCTGTACTGGAGGACTCTGATGAGCTATAAAGCTCGTTTTCATAGATGTGCAGTAGGGGCAGTCAGAACGTTACAACAAACAATACAAAAATATGACAGGAGTGCAAAGCAAATAACCCCAAACTATTTTTTACCTTACCTGGTAAAACCCACTGAGCTTATTTTTCAGAAGCGACCTGGCCACAAATCATCACTCAACAAAGTGGCTTATGTGGAAATTTATAGCAGCAAAATAACACGGTTTAGCAAGCCAGGATTGATTATGATGATGGTTCAGTCAAATTCCCTGTCCAGGATTTGAACTCGTGTCCTTGGAATTGCAATGCACGTGTGGCAGTGAAACTCAGCTGGGCGATATTTCTGGTGCTACACCCAATGATAACTTTAAGTTAATGCTAACTTATTCTCTTCTAAGGATTATAAAATGCCATAGCTATACATTAACTTTAATTTATTGCAAGTCTTAGAAATCACCTGGTGCATTTTGATTACATTAGAGAAACCTGAAAAATCTACGAAAATTTGGAGGAAATCCATACAGTAGAACCCCGGGAATGGAACGCACCAGAACTCAAACAAATCGCTGTTGGAACCATATTTCCGGAGGTCGAACGGGCAATCACGACTTGAAAGAACCTGTACACGGCTGAGACGCGTGGTGGCAGCAGCGTGCGAGACGCTTGCCCAAACAAAGGGGAACTCCCCCTTCTAAACAATAACACCACCATCACCACCACCAACTCCTCCTCACCACCGTCCACTCAAGCCATCAACTCTCCTTACTACAGGTAAAGTGAAGTTCAATGTTCATTTATTTCATTTATTTCATATATTTATTCATTTATTCCATTTATTTATTGTGTTTCTTGTTTTTTTAAATGATTTTATGCATGCAATTACTGTAAACTTCGTGTAAAAATGCTTTAAAATGAGAGTTTTCTTGTGTCTGGAACCAATTAATGTAATTTACATTAATTCTTATGGAGAAAATTAATTAGGTGTTCGAACAAATCGGTGTTCGAATGGCCTTCTGGAACGAATTAAGTTCGATCTCCGGGGTACCACTGTACTTGCAAGACGTGGATCCCATTTTCTTCCACATGTTTCTAGAGTTAAACAATATTCTGCCTGAGCACCGCTTTGCGAGCTGTGGACGTGCGTGTGTGCGTGGGTCTGCCTAACCGCGTGAACGTTGCCGCCCGTGTCCACTTCGCCGGTGCCATGCACGTGCAGGCAGAACATGTCGTGGTGGTTGATGAAGCCCGACATGAAGGTGTCGCGGCCGAGCCAGCAGCCGAAGATGTCGTACGGCTCCGTGTCGACCTGCGCCAGCATCGAGAAGTCATCTGCGGGACAGGCAGAGTGGGCAGTTGCGAGCGGCGGCTTCGGGCCGGCCGTCGAACGAAGGCGGTGGTCACCGCATCGCGTGGCGTTTTCAGATGCGCTTCTGCGGCCACCTGGAACGGTCTTCCTTTCGATATTAGGAACCAAATGGAGCTGTGCACTTTTAAATCTAGATTTAAAACTGCTTTCTTTACAACTGATTTTCGTGTTTAGTTTGTTGTCCTTCCCTTGCACATCCGATTAGCACGGTTGACTACATACGGTGCCAAAGAAATTCAACGTACGTACATACATACATACAACTCCCGGACCTTCCAAACTGCGAGTCAAGTTGCCCTGACCACAGACACCGCCTGAGCGGACAGAGGGAGAGTTATCAGGCTAGAAAGATACGATGAGCTATACATGCTCCAGTTGGGGTGGGTCAGGATGTCCGAAAGCACGTAGTAGATACAGAGACACGATAGTGGATGAGCTATACATGCTCCAGTTGGGGTGGGTCAGGATGTCCGAAAGCATGTAGTAGATACAGAGACACGATAGTGGATATAAAAACACGATACCCAGGCTGAAGACGAGGACGTCGCCAGCGGAGGGGTTGTAGGGGGAGGCGCTGACGCCGGACACGAGCAGCAGTGTGTCGCACGAGTTGAACTGGCTGAACTGCGTGTACTTCCAGTCGTAGCTGCACATGTCCTCCGTGTGCTCCAAGTTACAGTCATCAGACCTCCACAGCTGCACACAGAGAGACATGGACGGCGTTTTCCCTCGGATTGATAATTAGCAGTTGCAATGTGCAGCAGGTCATGGGTCATGATCATGCTGATGATGTGTGTACGTTGAACTTCTGTCGCACCGTACGTAACCGACCGTGCTAATCGGAGGTGTGGGATGACTATAATACTGCTACTTCGTCTTGTAAATATTCACTCCCCCGTGATACAATTAATTCTCACGGTTCTCACGTTGTGATTTGATTCAAGATTAATTATTTTTTTAACAGTGGTGAATGTAGCCCCTCCTACGGCTGCATAGGGCATACAAATGTAAATTAAGCACTTCTCAAATAGGATTTCATTAATGTATCGTGGGAGCAAGAATATGCTTTAACCTAGACATAATTCTGTGCTTACCGCTGCTGTTGATGATTGTGCTGGTGGTTCCAATGCTGGTGTAAAGGAAAGTAATGATTATGATGGTGTCGATGGTGATGGCAGTGATAAGGATTTCACTACCGCCGATAAGGTTTATCATTTTTTTGCTGATGTTCATGACGCTGAATACACAACACCAACATTTAAAGGTCACTCAAAGTGGACATAAAGTAAAGAGTTGATGATGCTTTTGTTACCGATGACTGGTTGTGAAGAAGCTGTGTACAACGAGCCATGCTGGGGCCCAACACAGCTGTTTTTTTATGGTCTTGGAAAAGGCAGCATCACAGGCTTGAGAAGTTTATTTTATGATACTGGATACGATCACTGGCCTACCTAACAGAGAAATGGATTGACGACCGAAGAGACTGGTGCCAGCAAGATGTGGCACTACTTGAGTACAGGACGAAGGAAAGCAGAAACAAATGGCGAAATGTGCTCATGGATCGTGATGATGATCACTGGTCAGCTGGTTAGGGAGAGACGAGACAAAATGTGCTTCCTTCATTTCACATGAACCAGCATCGTGCGGTATGCTCAAGCAAAACCCCATCGATTACATGGCTGGGATCAAATAAACCACATTGTTGTAGGGTGATTGCCGTTGACCAAATAAATAATCTGGATGCACCCAACCTTGTCAGATCTTGGGAGCTAAGCAGGTTTCGAGCCTGGATTGAGTTACGAGGGAGCTCCCGTGGTGCGTGAGCGCAGAGCGGCAACACACAAAAAAAACAAAAGGCCAAAAACATCAGTATTGCAGAGCACAGTTTCCTTAAGCAACGTAGCACGCAGCACGAGGCGATCAACGGTCGTAAACGAGACGCACGTGAAAACCAAAACGGACGACGGCGCAAGTATTAGTCTGAGAGCAAGAAGGGCCAGAAAAAGTTAGGTACGGGTGCAAGCAAGCTCTATATTTCAGTCGAACGGCGACATAAACACACACGAGGATCGAATAGAAAAAAAAAACCAGTGCAAACATGTGAGAGCTGCAGGCGCCAGAATAAAGTTAAGTGCATGTGGCAGTAAGCTCTGACTTTGGGCCTAATAGGGACATAAAGAGGGGGGAGTGAAGGGAGGGAACCAGGCTGTAGATGAGCACCAAGGGTATTCCTGAAACGTGGAAATGCAACATGGAAAAAAAAAATTTTTACCAAAGTTTAAGCGATTGTAATTTTTTCCAGGACTGAGGCGGTACTCCTGAGGGAGGAAGATGAGTCGAGTGGTCCTTTAGGTCCTTGGCAGGTTTGTTTAAGAGGACTTTTTGGATAAAGACAGCCCAGTGCTGGCCTCTCCGAGTATCCAGGGGGGACAGATTTGAGTCATTGTACAGGTTGCAATGATGAGTTATATAGGGGGAGTCAAGAGCAAAACAGAGAGCGGAGCGTTACCGTGGAATGTGACGTTTGAAGGTAAATTCAGAAGCTAGGTGGTAGATGGTGTCACAATAATCAAATACAGCAGGATTGTGGCATTAACTATATTCAGATGGAGTCAAGGTTGAGTACAGTATTTGTGTTTGTATAGAAATCCAATTTAGTTATTGTTTTTATTCTTGTCGGTCTAGAAAGATAGTTTTGGGTCCAGGATAATGCCTAGATATTTAAAGTTGCACATTGTGTCCAGAGCCACAATGTGTATAAGTGGTGGGCCAGGTTGAGGGCAGCCATAAAAAAACGAAACTTTGTTTTTTTTAGCGTTGAGGACCAGTTTTCGGGCAATCAGCCGAGGATGAAGAATATCGAAGTCCTGTTGCAGATGCCATTGTAACTCCTGTATGGAATTTCCAGAGGCCATCAGGGCTATGTCACCGGCAAAAACGGTTGTCGTCAGCGTGCAGTCGAACAGGAGGGCACAATGATGACGAGGTTCAACACCGCTGAAGATAAAGTCAAACGAATCGTGTACCGCCTAGGCTGTGCTTTGTACGTATTTTGAACTTCTTTCGCACCGTACGTAGCCAACCATGCTCGAATTGTAAATATTGCGGGTTTACTCTCCAATACACCGGTGTGCAGAATTAGTAACGAATTGCCATGTTTTGTTTACGTGACAAACCTTACTAATTGGCTGTGTCAGGTGGTGGCGGGTGTAACGACACGTTTATATTTATGCGATCTAATACAAAAACCTCTATTATGGATAATATTGGTCGCGAAAGCCTACGTGTTAAACTAGCATGGTAAAGTATGGTGAAACAGGTTAGTGACATGGCCTAGCGTTCGCTACTTGTCGCAGAGGTTCGTGGTTCTAATTTGGTGGTCGCCCTTGATTATGCATGCGCGTGCAGTAACCGTATTTTGTCGTCCGCTTCGCAGGGGACATTCATCAGTGAAGGCCCATTGTGTGCTGGTGTCAGGTTCCAAATTTGCCAAAATTCGAAAATGACTCACAAATGACTTAATTGGGATTATTCGTGGGAATCATCATCACCCCCTCCTGGCAGACATGCCCCAGGTCACTCTTGCGAATGAGACTATCCTGGTCTCTTGAGTTCTCACCTGGTTAAACAAAAAGAAACTTGAAATTAAAACCCGAACCCCCCATGACCCAAATGGCTTGAAGGAAACAATCATCCAGCAGTGGATATGTATGTACGAATGTTGACCTTCTTTCGGACAATAGATAGCTAACCGGGCTAATCGGAGGTGCGGGGAAGGACAACAAACTAAACACAAAAATCAGTTCTAAAGAAATAAATCTAGATGCTTTTAAAAGTGCATTGCGCCCAGTGGCTTACTAATATCGGAAGGAAGAGCGTTCCAGACGGCCGCAGAGGGGTATTTGAATGCGCGCAATGCGGTGACTGTCTTTGTTCGATGGTCAGTTGGAATCGCAGTTAGGGGTCATGTTCTACCCATCGTCCATTTGGACTTTTATCAAATGACACCTGCGCTCTATGAGAATTCAACCCCTGGCACTGTCGAGTTGCCACCTCCGTCTCTGCTACGGCTCTGATCACAATCGATGGCGAGCCGAAAGCCGCTGCTGCGAAGATGACTAGAGTTCGTGTGATTGTCTATGCGCCTTGACGAGATCCGCGAGCTATCGTGGTTCATTCGTGGCGAGCACTTTGTGTGTAACGAGTGCGACCTCAAAAGCGTCACCCGGAGCGGACTGCAGATCCCGGGGGGGGGGGGGGGGGGGGGAACCTGGGCCTGGTGGCGGCGCAGGGGAGACACGAACCTTGATGGTGCAGTCCTTGGAGCAGGAGGTAAAGCGCGTGCCGTCGTGGGAGAACGCCACGTGCAGCACCTCGTCCATGTGCTCCATCAGCACGTCAGCCTCCACGCACGGCGCCGTCTCGTACACCCGCTGGAACTCACACAGCCACGACGTGGCGCCTGCATGCGCAGCAGCAGCTCCGTTAACCAAATGCTACAGCGACGTGGCGCCTGCATGCACAGCAGCAGCTCCGTTAACCAAATGCTACAGCGGTGCTCTTCACTAACTTTAAGAGGGTGGGGGGCCACTTTCGCTGATAATACATCATGAGTGTGAGGGGCCGCCACACTGCCTGCAAGAGGGCGTTTTCACATTTGTGCGGCGATCGTACCGGGCTTGAGGTTCTCGCGCTGCGGCTGCACGCCGTAGCAGCGATGGAAGAGGCGTCCCCAGAGCCACTCATCTCGCGACACAGCGAGCCAGCGCCGGCTCACAAGCCCGGCAGCCAGCAGGTGCTGCGGCTCCAGGTGCGAGAGGATCTGCAGCAGCAGCGAGTCCGGCAACAGCGACAGAATCCCCGGCTCCTCCTCCTTGTCTTCCTCCATGCTGAGGCCAAGAGTGGTCAAACATTATTCAGCATCATCACGGGCATCGTCAGCCATCATCAATCCACCATTGTATGAAGGCCCTCGAAAAAGGCGTCGCCATCTCTCACAACCCTGCGATGTAGCAGTCCACTTGGCACGAGCGCACAAACTGATTTCATTGCTCCATCTCCACGGTGGGTGTTCTCTCAGGAAGGTTTCTTACTCCAAAGTCGACCCCCGATGCTGCCACAGTTGAAGAAACGTTCATGTAACTGAGGCCCAAGTTTCAGGCTGCACTAACTATTAGAGGAAAATGTTATGACAATACTTCACAAACATATATACTCACCTGACATATGGAAGATGCATTGGTAATCAAACTAGGCAATTAAACCAACACTGTAAAATAAATCAATTGTTAACCCAAGTGAAAGGACTCCTTTTGCAAATGGGCAAATGTTTGCTTTCCAACAATATTTGGCAAAAACATTCCACTGTAGGTCTCGATTGCCAACAAGTGGATAAATCACCAAGGTGATTAGTTTTAGCTGTTTCATGAAGTTGTGAATCTGTCCTAAAGTCCCCTGGTTCAAACAAGATGCAAACATGTATATTAGCGGTCCGAGGCCAGGAATGGAAATCAAAGCACCAAGCCAGCGTGGAATTATTCAGCAGGGGAGCTGCAAGCCTGGTGAGATGGCAGGAAGCCTGGAGAGCGGATGATTAAAAGTCATGGTCTAGAATATAAAAGCATTAGTCACAGCAAAAGAAGAAGGAAGGATATTGAGACCGTAAATAGCAGAGGGACACACATCAAGCAGGTCAGTAGTTTTAAGAGTGTAGGAACAATGAGGGGGGGAGGTGCAGCAGTAGTCCCACTTGTTAGTGCACTGCGCTGTGAGCTCAGCTACTTGAGTTTGAGTCCCAGCCATGGCTAAGAGCGCCACGGTGGCAAGGTGCTAATTACCTCGCCTGATATATAGGAGGTCGTAGGTTCAATTAAAAACCTTGATGCCTGTATATTTGGAGTGTGCATGTTCTCCCCGTGGTCGTATGGATTTTTCAATGGGTCCTCCGGTTTTCCCCTCCACATTTATAAATATGCGTTTAGAGTATTTGGCTGCTATACATTTCCACATGATAAGCCACTTCGTTGAGCTATCATTTGTGACCAGGTCGCTTCTGAAAAATAGCTATATAGCTCGGTGGGCGTTAACTGGTAAAATAAAACATGCTTTAGTGTATTAAAATCAGTGGCAAGTAATATTAGAACTGGTCCTGACTCCTCCGAGCTTCACAAACCCACATTGATCTGTGGTGACGTGGGCAAAAAATACCCATGACCACCATCACTTGAGAAGGCCTTCATCAATCGGTGGATTGAGAATGGCTAATATATTTAAGTGGAAGGAGGCAGAATTTAGACGTTAACAGCCTAAACAGGGGTTGCTAATATTCTTAGCTCTTTCGGTAAAGTCACGTTGAAGGGAACAATAAAATAATAAAATATATATAAAACAATAAAAATTATCATGACGTTTCGACCATAACGCAAACAGTCATCATCAGGTGTTATGGTCGAAACGTCATGATAATTATTGTTTTATATATATTATATTATTTTATTGTTTCCCTTCAACGTGACTTTACCGAAAGAGCTAAGAATATGAATTACTGCAGTCACAAAAGCTTTAAATCAGGGGTTGCTAATGTCGCAATGTTGATGGTTTGGGCACATGTTGACAAGAGACAAATAAGATGCAATCGGAAGGCCTGTGGAGATGAGAGGCGCAGACTAGAAGTCGATGGAGAAAGAAAATATGAAGAACCTCATATAGCGATGTTACAATTGGCTTAGCGGAATAAGACCAGCATGGAATGATGTTGTTTTGCTCAGTCAATGAAGAATCCGTTTTAGGGTTGCATCTTCTTTTCCGTAAACAGAACTGCATTTCCTGAGACAGCTGTTGGCTGTGAGTCATGGTGGGCCCACTGAATGTCCATTATTATGTAAAATGCCAAGGAGGTAGGTGTTGTCATTTGCATGCATACAGAGTGACAATGGAAGTGCCACGAGGGAATTGGCTAAAGTGCTAAATTTCTAAGACGTGTTTCAGTGTCCATCCAGATTGGTGTCAATTTGGTCAGAGTGCTCAACTCTCAATCAACAGTTTGAGGGTTTCAAGTTCCATGAGAGTGTTAACTCAACCCATCGTTATCAATAAGGGTGTAAATACATTTGATACATTGTGGGAAGCCAACTGCCTTCTTTGTATGAAGAGCAGGATCTCTGCCGTGACAATGTGGAATGTGCACCCCATTTAGTCAGAACCACTAACAGTCTGCTGTCCTTCCCCCGTACTTCCACCTCCGAATAGCACAGTTGACTATGTATGGTGAGAAATAATTTCTAAATACGTACAGAGATGATGTGTCTTGACTTAAAGCTTTCGTGGCTGCAGGAATTCACATTCTTTGGGTCTTTCGGTAAAGCCACGTATATAGAAAAATAATAAAAAAATATCACGTTTCCATCGCAACACAAGCAATCGTCATCAGGTGAAAAAATATTGTGGGAGAGCTACTGAGGCAGGAAAGAATATAGCGGGAGAGCTGCTGAGGCAGGATGTTCTAAAGGTGTAGTGTAGTAACTCTTGACACCCAGCAGACTTGTAGAGGAAGATGGAGACGAGGATTCTTTCATAGGGCTGATTGCCATTTATTCACAACCCTTGCACACTCCTATACACTCTGTTTCCACTCTCTACACTCGACGCTTACACACGTCAGAACTCTGTCCTTTCGCGGACATCCCTCAGCTATCTACACCCCGGTATGGCTTCCCTCATGCCTACTCCTTCGTTTGCCCCAGGCGGGGGCTCACCCATCACCGCCCGGCGACGAGGTGAGGCCTCGACATTACTAGCCCTTCTTCGGCGGCGGCTGGGATGTCTTCCACGCAGGCTCTCGTTCCCATTGTCTCTCTCCCCACGGCGACCCTGCCCTCGTCCCGGGGTCCCCCTTAAGTACCCTGTCGCCTCGATGACATGACATCATCAACATCACGTCAACCCACTCCTCTACAGATGACATGACGTCATCCCACTACTCCTCTACAAATGTTTGAGATGGGTATAGCTCAAGGGTCATAAGCAAAGTGGGCGGGGCTAGAGATGAAATTTGCATGTAAATGTAAGATCGGAGAGCTGAGCTACCTCCACAACGACGAAGCTGTGGACGTGGCCATTGCATTGAGAGATTAGCATGTCAATGGAGGAAAAACGGAAACCACCGCCACATCGAGGAAAATGAGCAACGGTGGTTGTGTTAGTGAGACATTTAGCCTGTTAATGTAAAGACATTTAATCTGGTAATGTAACTCAGAGAGTCAAAAATAACTGCTAACATCGGCAGGTAGGATGGAAACATCACAGCCAGTTCTGACTTAAACTGGTTAATAACGTTCTTCCAATGACTGCTCAGTGTGTACCCATCTTCTCGGTTGAAATTGTGTCTGTGTTTATATATCTGGATGGCTTCATTAACGAATCTTTGCTGATAGCCAGTGGGTTTGCAGAGTAACTTCGTCTTGGAAAAATCATTTCTTGTGTGCCCACAGCGTTAAAACAATGATCAGCCACGGCTGAGGTATTGGCCCTACCGTGTTTCAAATCTGCCTTATGTTCACGAAAATGGTCCAAGACATGTCGCTTAGTTTCCCCAATGTAACTACTGCCGCAGACACAGCTTAGTCTGTAGACACCGGGGTATTGCATATCAGGGATCACATCCTTCACAAATGGGATCAGATCACGAATTTTATGTACTGTCTTGAATCAAACCTGGATCTTGTGTTTCTCATGATTTTGGGAATATTTTTGGTAACCCCTGCTATGTATGGCAAGGTGATGGTGTTTATTGGGTCCTCATATGGTTCTTTCCCAATGGTTGAGGGCTGGGTGTACGTGCTCCAGTTCACTGGCTAGGTGGTGATGGTCGAAAATACAACGAGCTCTATGGTGTAGAGTTTTGATGAGGGAATTCTTATGGGTGGGGGGAGCCAGGTTTTAGGTAGGCATCCGTATGGGTGGCTTTCCTGTAGACAGAGTGTCCCATTGATCCATCTGGTCTCTTTTCAATTAAAACATCCAAGAATGGTAACTTGCCATCCTTTTCCACCTCAATGGTGAACTTGATGGCTGGGTGTATGGAATTGACGTGGTTGAAGAATTGGCCCAGAGGTGGTAGGCCATGTGTCGTCTACGTATCTCTTCCACAAGGAAGGATGTAGCGTGGATGCCTGGATGGCATCTGTCTCAAATTTTTCCATGAAAACATTGGCTACAACTGGAGATAAGGGAGAACCCATTGGGGTACCTTCAACTTGTTTGTAGAATGTTCCATTCCAGGTGCAGTAGGTATTGGTGAGGCAGTGTCTAACCAAGGCCGGTACATCAGCATTCAGTCCTTGTTGGACCAAATCTTCAATGATTGCAATGGTGTCAGGCACAGGAACTTTGGTAAACAAAGATACTACATCAAAACTGACAAGCAAATCACCTGGAAATGGTGAGATGTCCTTAATTAAAGATACCAAATGAGCTGAGTTCTGAGTTGAGTACAGCTGAGATGGTCTTACCAGTGAATGGTTGTTAGGTCTCAGACAGAAATCGGGCCAGTTTGTAGGTGGGTGAGTCAATGGTGGAGACGATAGGACAGAGTGGTGTACCTTCTTTATGGATTTTCGGTAAGCCATAGACACTGGGTGGTCCAGCAGCAGAGGGTTTTAGAGAGAGCCACTTGGTTGTTTCGATTAAAGATGTCGAATCAGTGATGATATTGTTGGTTTTCATAACCAGGCGGTTGGTAGGATCTCTTGATTTTGGTATAGCTGCCATCATTAAGTAGGTCCTGTATTTTGTTATTGTATGTGATGTGTTTTTATATCTGTACACACATTGTCAATACTAGCCATGTTTGTCACTGCTGGCTGTTTCCTTCCACCATATCCTTTCCTCC